AACTACAGGTGATGGCACGTTTGCCCACACAACACCGCCAGCTAGGTCGTTGCCCAAAATCATATGTACATCATCAATTGGCAACGCGGGACACACTCCGACAGCCACAACTCCTTGCACCAGATTACAGTCCAGCACTATTTTATGACACGGCAACGGAATCAAACCCATTTCCAACCCGGTCATCAGGACAAGATCCCCCGTCTCCGTCTCTGGGGAAAAAGGCAGCGCCGACTCAACAATAAAAAGATATTTAGCTGCTGTATCACGCAACATCTTAATTGGAACTGCCAACTAATGACATGTATTGAGAGTACAAACAATGTTCGTGTGCAGGAGCCAGACATACCTATGAGCACAATGAGCTTGTGAGGGTCCAGCTGGTCCTTTGAGGTTTTTGTGGCCTCTAAGCCATCTTTGAGTGAGGCAATGATAACAGGAAATTCTAAAAGAAAAGAAATGCAGTTGCAAATGAGATATAATAAATATTCAGTTAGGCCAGTACTTCCACCTAGTTTAGTTCTTCATTTGCGTATCATTATAAACACTGTAATTCTATTATTATAGCAAATCTTTATTATTATTCTTTATTTAATTTTCTTGAGCTAAGGCAGGAAGTTCCAACTCTGGTTTTAGCATTAAGTTGGTTAAAGTTGGTAAAGGGTAGGTTCAACTTTTAAAAGTTGAATACAGGATCTATGACCATACAAATGGACATAAAGTTGAGCATTATTTTACATAACATCACAAGATATTATATCGTGTGGTCAGGCATTGCAGTACATAAAAACATTATTTCAAGTGCGTCTTAAAACAATTCTCAATACCTGTGTACACTTTAACACTGCTGTTACAACTGAGTTGGTCAATGTAATAATTCCCCCTCCATGGTTGCAGTGAAGAGAAATCTCTAAAACAGTGTACCTTTAGAAGATGTCCACTATTGAATAGTCTAACACAGATGCTTAGCTGATGATTCATAGTAGCTTCAGCTAAACTTTAGAATTAATTTATACAAAAATGACAACTGTGTGATGTCTTTACAGACTATATGGGCAGGAATAATGATGACAGTGGCCAATAACTTACTGTAAACATGGACATGTGAGTATTAAGGTAGACTATAAAAATGTGAACCTTTAGCACACAGACAGCAACATATTAGTTGCATTTATTACTCATGCATAGGCCTGCCTTGTTAAAATCTCATGCATAAAATTCCAGCAACACGTTACTGAGATTGTTGACTGTTACCGAAATTTTAGTAACATTAAAAACTGCCTTTCAGCAAAAAGCAATACATTACTGCAACGTTAATTGCGTTTCTTTTGTAACACGTTACTCCCAACTGTTTAAGGCAGATGAAAGTTGCTGTCTCGATTATGAAGCTATTGAAATGCTAACTAACGATAGCTAACAAATATATTAATCCACATGCTAGCATTAGCTAACGCACACCAGAGCTATCCATTAAGGAAAATAATTTCAAACCCAGAGTGAGCTCAGCTTTAGTTAACTTACACAATTGTGGTGTCTTGCTAACAATAATAAACTTACCAAGAAAGACGATTTTTGCTGGCAGTCTCTGCGTCTGTCCTCTCCTGCTTGTACTCGCCAGTCACGCCTCTTTAGCTCTTTTCACATTTAACTTCTGCAGGAAGCTGGCCGAATATTCTTCTCTTCTGTGTTCTTTTCTTATTATGTCTGTGGTGTCCACCATAAAGTAAAACAAATGAAACCTGAGAAACAAAATGATTTTTGGCCAGAAATAGCTTCCCTCTCTCAACGACAGTACACACGTTAACTTTCGTGAAGCGGACTTTCACACTGTGTGATTGGGTCGTCAATTTGAAAACCTCGATTCTGATTGGTCTAACTGAATGCACTGTGCTAGTGGGCTGGGCGGGAGGCCGGGCACACTTCGTCCCTGTGTACACATGTGTAACTGCATTATGATTTAAAGTATGCTTATTTCTATATGTTGTTGTTTGTTAAGTTAACAACTTCTTCTTGGTCAGGTTACCCTTATGAAAGAGGTCTCTGATCTCAACTAGCTATTTACCTGATTAAAAAAAAGAAAAGAAATGAAAAAAAGACAAAGATAAAGAAAAATAATATGCTTTTGAAAAATATATTTCAATGTTAAAAAATATGTTTTAAAAATCATACTTCTGGAAATCAGACTGAAACGTGGCAATTACATAAATAATTACAATATTTTGAAGTAGCCTACACAATGAAGCATGTTTGGCATAAATATATTTTTAACCCACTAAAAGTGTAATTGTTTAACAATGTACTTCTACAAACTACACCAAGAGTATTTACTAATAAATATGTTTTGAATAAATAGACTAAAATGTTGTAAAAATATACTTTTATTTTAGCACATTTATTAAAAGTTCAATTAAGTATATTTATTACCAGTTTGTTCAAAGTATACTTTTGAGAAGTATGTTAAAGCTCAGGAGAATATATCTTTAATATACTTGTAGTAAGCATGTTCGAAGTATGAATGTACTATAAGCATAGGCCTATGTGAATTTCAAGTATATTTTGTGCCTTTAAGAGCACTTCTTTTTGACCTGGGATTGTATCATTATATATTTTTTTCTAATTAAAGGCTTATAATGCTGTGTTTGAACCATTCTGTGGCCAAATCGATTATACTAATTTAGTCAAATGTGACAATTTGACCAAAACCACTGAGACAACTTGCCCAGAAGTTAGCTTTAGTACAGGACTTTGGTTTAGGTATGAAAACACACATTTTCTGTCTTTATCATGTGCAAAAATAATATAATTGAACATGGTTACTTATCAAAGATATTATAGGCCTAGATATTAAGATAGGCCTATAAGGTATTACGTAACCCCGTACACACTAAGGCGGCGTGTGTGGTGTATAACATATGTGCATCCGGCCATTACAGTTTAACATAATGCTCTGCAGCTGGTGAGAGGGACAGTGAACCCTTATGGGGAAGTAATGATTGATGGGTGCAGTGTTAGGGGAAGTAGAGATTAGGTATAAAGAGATTAGTGTGTATAAAGAGATTAGTGTGTATGAAGGGACTGTACCCTTCTGTGGTGTCTAATAGATGGTTACATTTATTCTACAGCACCGTGCACTTATATGGTTTTTAGCAGAGACCTAAACATGTCCTATATAAGCTGTGTTCGATGTACAGAGAGACAGAGTGGTCATCGGGCTGGGTCACTCTCCAAGCTGCTGCAGAGCTTGTAATTGATGCTGAATTCTTTGATGTAATAAACTTTTATAACCAAGAACAGTGTCAAGCGGATTTCTTCTCAACACATCATCGCAGCATTATCGTTCGGACACCACACGTGTGAGCCACCTTATGACTGCGCCACGGTTTTGACCCGTCCTCAGCCCAGCTCAACTCACACTGGAAGCGTTTGAGCGTCGGAGCCTGCCACACATTGTTGACTTGTTGTTTATTTGTCATTTTACCGATTAAAGCTGTGTTCACAGCTCAGTGAACCGTTTCCCCCCTTCCCCTGTTCCCTGCAGGTCTGAATTTCCCACATGGAGCATTTCACAATAAAAGCGTTTTGCCTACATGATTCTGCAGAATTGTTTAGATTTAGTTGATTTGGTAAGTTGTCCTTGATTTTTGTGCTTCTACCATGGTTAAGAAGGCTACGTAGTTAAATTGTTTCTTTTTAAGTCTGTTTTTTTGCTGCTTTACCTGTCTTCTGCCAAAAATAGACCGACTGCCTATTCTCCGTGCAGAGGAGCGGAGAGCTGTGGCAAGCCATTAGTGCCAAAAAATGCCACTCTTGTAGCATGTTTTGCTAACAAAACGGCGTTTAAAACGGCGTTTTGTGTATAAAAACGCCGCGAAAAACGCCGTTTTATTTTGGCACGCCGTAAAAAGCAGCGTTTAGTTAACAAAACGCCGCTTTAAACGTTTTGTAAAATGATAATGAGCTCCGCCCTGTGGATTTTACAGCCACTAAATTTGAACTGTTGTCACCCAATCAGTACAGAAGAAGAACAGACCACACTAATTCAGCACTGATCTACTTTACTGTGATCGTAGCCACCCAAAGGCAGAAAGTAACCACAGACAAGCATGAAAAACTCAACACAAAAGTCCCAGACTGATCAAGTAAATTGACTACATTTACTAAAAATATTTAGCTACTCTAGGTTATAGCTTGTAACATCTATTGATTGATGATTTTAGATCAAATTTGACATAATTAATTTGCATTTTATTTATCATCACTGTCAGATTAAAGTATCTCCTAAAATAGAACATACAAACACAAAGAAAGTAAGAAATCACCATAAGTGGAACAACTATCTTTACATGGTCATCAGTGAACAGTTTAAGCCTCATTTGTCTTTTTATGAGCCCTTCAGTCGGTGTAGTATTGATAGCGAGCCTACCCTTGTTTCTACAAAGCTTTGTTTTACCATGTCATCCTAAATCCAGGCCAAAGGCAACCTGACACAAACGTGTGTTTCAGTCGGTTCAGGGAAAACAGCTTGTCATTTATTCCCTGGCTTTTATTTATTTATCCAAAGCTATCCTTCCGGACTCCTGCGATAATATTTATGTTACCCCAAAACACTACACTATACAAGTTGCTACAAAAACTTATCTTATTCCATATTTATATATTTCCACATTTATTTATGTTGACTGTATGTTTGTCTACATGTAGCACCTCATCACCACAGCAAATTCCTCGTATGGGTTAAACACTACTTGACAATAAAGCTCCTTCTGATCCTGAAAAGGCATCTGCAGGCTATTAAGATACTTGGTTTTAAAAAAACGCTGCATTGCTTTCCTCCGAAATGGACATATTTGAGAAAGGTTACCTGAAGTCTTTGTGAAAGCATACCTTCTGATGATACCTAAGCTAAATAATAAGATGCATGTTTTGAAATCATGTTAATCATCAATAAGCTATCTTTACATTGTGAATAATGTTGGCTGATAATGACAAAATGAAATCGGTTTAATCAGTAAAGGTTGAAATTTATTTTACTGTGTAAACCACACAACATTCAAAATTATTATTATGAACAACCAGGATAAAGAATCTGTCAGACTATTTGTGAGAGACAATTGATTGGAGTCTTGACTACTACTAGATATTTGACTTAATACTTTGAACAATTAGGAATTATGTTAAAACCATTAAAACCAGTAAAGGTATTTAAAAAATAATGCAAAAATATAATTACACTGATTTTAATGAACAACTGTAACCAATATAGCCTAAGTACATCAGTGTGTGTGTGTGCGTCTGCGTGAGGCTCCAGCTGGTGACGGGCATCACTCGTGGTCCAGTCCATCGTAGGGTGAGTGGAAGTTCTTGGGCAAAACCTTCAGTTCTTGGGGCTGTTTGAACTTCAGCTCTTTAACTGGCTAGCTGGATGCGCACAGTGGGGCTGCTGTGGTGATACTCTTATTTTAAGAGATGGGGACAGATAGGCTTCCCAGTCATCTGAGTGGTGCCATCCACGTTGTATCTAGTGGATGGAAGAATTTAAAAGGGAAAATAGGGACAGAATTTTAATAGATTACAAAGTACGTCTTTCACAGTGGTGGAAAAAGTAGTCAGACCTTTAACTTAGGTAAATGTTCCAACACCACACTGTAGAGATATTCTGTATGTCAAAAGTCCTACATTCAAATTTTAAGATGAAAAGTAAAGGTAATTCTAACTACTTTATATTTTGCTGTGTGGCTTTATCTGTGAAAATACTCTAGTTTTTGAATATGTTTTTAATTTATAATCTGCAGAGTAACTAGTCACTAAAGCCATCAAAATAAATGTAGTGGAGTAGTACCTCAAAAAGAAGAGTAATTGGGTGCATGTACTTGGGTACTTTTCACAACTGATTTCTATTGACATAGAAGGCAATATTTGTGCAAGAATGTATGTCTGATAAAATACCTAATTGTTTGGAGGTCATGCAATGTTGGATCCCCAGCTTTTTCCCAGTTCCCCATCTGGCAGAAGTCCTTGAAGATACGTACCTCACACGGTATGGCCTGGAATTGGAGTGAGCGCCAACAAGGTCTTCTCATCTGCATCGTCTTTGTCCTTCTGCTTCGCAGCCTTTGTGTCCCATGAAGCTGTTTCGATGTTTCCAGGCTTGAATGAACAGTAGGCATCACACTGGTCTTTAAGTGAAAGGGAGATATATTTAAGTCACAGAAAATGTTTGACAAAACTTACATTGACAGAGGCTGTTTTCAAGAGGGCTCCCACTTCAAAAAACACCACTGCTTTATGCCTAATGTTGACAGGAACAAGCGTTGGCACATTCAGATTCTTCTCCAATCTACTACAGGGTGACAAATAATGGATGCTGACCTTCTGGATTCATCTGCTCCTGTCCGCCGCCGCTTTACAGTGCTCCCCTCCACCACAGACTTCACAATCATTTCTCCAGTCCAAATTCCCCCAGAAATACTTAGAAATCTTGTTCTTATGATGTGTCTTCTGCTTTTCTGCAGTAGAGTTTAGTGAACCTTTAGCAGGTTGCAGACTGGCATGGTGTACCCATTTGTCTTGCCTCCTTCAATCCAGGCCCCTCATTCTCCTACTTTTCTGGACCTTCACGTTCCAGGTCTCTGGATTTCCCCGTCTTTCAAGACGAGCCTCATCGGTTGAAGAGTCCTCCTCAATTCCTCAAGTCCTCCTTGTGAATAAGAGAAAACAAAAACAGAAATTCTGTAAATGTTGTCCTCACAGTGTGTCTTAGTGTGGTGTTGTGTCTGTCTGTGCAAAAAGAGTGTGTGCTAAACAATAGCAAGCAAACTAGAAAACATGCAGCATTCACTGCATTAACTACATCTTACACACACTTCTACGTGTGCATCAGTATGATGAAAGGTTTTACTACTTCTCACATTATTGTGATCTGTGATTTGATCTGAGCTACATTTACTTGCGTGAAAAGGTTTTATACAATGTGTTTTCAATTGGTTGTATGGTTGTCATTGGTATAAAACCTCCAGAGGGGCCAAGTGTGTGCACATCCAGTCAAAAGTACTCAAGTGAAAGACAAAAAATATCACTGCAAGACACAAAGGACAAATCTCTGCAGTCCAATGGTGTGCAGACATTTTTCCTGAATTATTTTAATGCCTACATTCAGTGAAATGTTTTGAAAAAAGATTTTTATCGTAATTGTTTTTTGACGTTCTACCTGAGATCTGTTAAGTGACCACTGTTTTGCAGGTTCTTGTCATGTACTGACCATAAATAAAAGTTTAAAACCAAAATAAACTATATGTTTTTTTTCAACTTTCAAATCAGAAGCAAAGGTCAGCTTTTAAACTTGACAGAAATAAGAATTTGACCTTTTTCATGATAAATATTGATGCTGAATGATATTAGACTTTTTTTTAAATTATAACATTTTGGGCCCCAGCCGATTCTTTCTGAAATACGGAAGAAATAAAACCGAACCCAAAAGTCTTAAACATCTGTTTTTGATTGAGGAAACCAAATATAGATCTTTGAAGCACAGTGAACTGTCCCATCATATTTTACATTGAACCACAAAGCTTTCAAACCCTATACTTGCTACATCAGCAGTGAGTTGTAAAGAACAAGTTTACGTTAGCCAATCTACAAAATGACAGATGAGAATGACTCTGAACTAGTACAAACTTGATAAAGTTGTCAAACAATAATCTTAAAGCTATACTTTACCTTAGCAACGGTATCTTCCACGGCGAAAGCTTTTTGCTGTTGTTTCTGATATTCTTTTATTGCCGGTTGGCAAGCCAGCTTATATGTCTTACAGGCACAGGGCATGTGGAAAGGTAATAAACCTGTAAAACAGCAGAAATGATGAGGCTGAGGAAACTTGCTGCCATTGGTCTAGACGGTCTTCCCAGAGTTCATTTAATAAATACAGTAATTTTAGTCATTACATGAAGTCTCTTTTTGCACAGTAATATTCAACTAAGTAACCAAATTACATAAAGTGAATAAAATGTATCTAGCACACACATCAATTCATCATTTTCCTCATTAAAAGGAAATTTAAAACTCTCGTAGCCTACAGTGAATGTAAACCTTCGAAATATTAACAAAAAAGTATAATACTTAAATATATGAAAAGGGAATTTAAACCTTTTAAATTAACAGGGATAAATCTCTCATAGTTCTTACTGACAGAACCGTTCACTGTCCTCAATTTAATAAACGATCCTGGCAAGATAGTGACATTTTTTTGTAAACAAAATACAAATAAAATACTTCATATGTGAAACCAGCGCCCAGCAGCCGTAAACGTTAATGGTGGACATTGACCGAGGATCGGGAGTGCTAGCTAACGTCTAGCACAGTGTAAGAAACCTATGAACAAACTACATAGTTAATACTAAAAACAACTTAAACACAAGAGATAACGATTGCTATGCTTATTCATCTGTTTTGTGCTTTTATACACCGTACTGACCTGTAAAACAGGAGGATCTCGACGATCTTGCCGGAATGGCAAGACGACGACAGCTACGTCATCAAAACAGTCCCCAACCGGCAGCAGGCAGCGCTCTGCTGCCCCCTACTGTCTGCAGTGGAGTACTTATTTGTAATGTAAAAGCCTTGGAGGACTTGGTCGACTCAACATTACATTTACATGCATGTGGATTGAAGAATTTGAAAGGGGAAAGAGGATTTTAATAGATTACAAAGTATGTCTTCCACAGCAGTCAGACCTTTGGTAACTTAGGTATAAAAAAAAAACACTGTTGTTTGAGACACACTCAAATAAAGGGAGGGAGGTGCGTGCATCCTGTAGTGGAAGATACATGGTTTGATGGACACTTTTCACATCCAATGGAGATACTTGTTCAATACATAACGTGATAAACCTTTTGAATCATATGTTAAATTAAACCTAAACAATGTGATCACACTTTTTTTTTCTTTTTACAAACTAATATAAACTTTAATTTATTTATCCAACTCTTATGCCACAATATTTCTTGCTTGCTTTTTCCCCCTGTTACCATCCCCATTCCCCCTTAACTGAAATAAAAACTAATGAAAAACACAAAGTACTCTGGCTGTTAGGGAGAGCTAACCATTTGTAAGAACTGACCTGTAACTTCAGATTAGACTCCAGCAGCAGCTTGACCACCACCAGCACCACGTCTGTTGTTCTCATTATGGTTATGGGCCTATCTATGAAACCTGGTGAGCATTACTATGAGTTAAAAAACAACTCCTCTAGCTCTGGGGCTTTCAAATATTTTACTGCCTTTGGTTTGATTCTGTTTGATGAATCATCAGGGAAAGGCAATTCTGTGATGTGACAGGGGGAATATCCCTTTTTTTTTTTCCTGAGGTGTTTGTGAATGGCTTAGTGTCCAGATACAGCTTGGTGACCATCTGACTGATGACTCCTCAGATTGTCAACTGGCTGCTCCGGAAAAGACTCAACAGGTGCTTAGATGTTTCTGTTCTGTTTAGAGGAGCTTTTCCACAGTTCCCTTTTTAAAGAACAAACAAACAAACCAAAAAACTACTGTGTTTGTGTCTACTTGTTGTTCCTTGCCAATATTTGACATAACGAGTTTGTTATGCATATTTTTGATCAAGTGGATTGTTGGATACTTTCTCCCAGTTTCAGTAAATGCACTATCCAAATATGGACATAAATAATAGGAGAATTATGACATTACATTGATAGAGTAAATGACAAGTACAACCATTGTTACAAAAATAGATAATAACATGAAGTAAAGAAGCTTATGAGTTTTAATGACTTTTGGTTTTGTTATGGTCTGAATTGAAAATGTTACATATACATAGATATGTAGTGTACCATTTATGAGGCATTATAGCCTATCACTGGAAGTTTAATCAATGATAATACATTATAGTGTAGCTACTGCTAACTGTAAATGATAACATTTCAAAACACACAGGGCTGTCAGGCCTAAAGCTAGTTAATGACAACTCGAGGCGGTACAAATCTCCCGCTGACATTGAACATAGCCCAAAAATGTCTTTACATACCTGATGAAATAGACATATGGCCTTAATCAGCACATGTATACTCTTTTCAAATAAACCACCTAATGCAGTGTAATTCATGTTTCGCCTGCAGTAACTGTGGGGCTGATGTTTTTATTAAGTTACATGGTGCAGCTTCATGAATGTCATCTTTACGTTTTCTTAACATAGAACATTTAGATATAGTGTAAGTAGGCTACTAGTTTGGCTAGATAGCCTATTTGATATATTCATATAGCCTATCTTTTTACAACCCTATTCACAGCCATAAGAAATTTAGGGACAGAACCAACAAAGCACCAAGGTGCGAACCAAAGTTCATGTTTTGATACATTTTGATCCATTCGGTTAGTTTTAGTTTGGTTTCACACCTTCTGCGACCACACTAAAAGACTTTACGTGACAGACTTGCGTTCTGTCATCATCATCTGTGGGCTGCATCTCCCCACTGCGTCTCCCTGTACTTGACATTGATTGGTTTATTAAATAGGTCGGCAGGTATCTTTGACAAGAATGAATGAATGAAAAATTAACATGTGCATAGGTAGGCTATTTGTCGCAATATTGTCATTATTATGGCATTACTACCTGTAGCACCAACTCTACTGAAGGCTAGTTCAAATTCGCAAATGCACACCCTCATTGTGCAAATAACTTCTCCGACAGGAAAGGAGAAGACAGCAATCCTTCTGCACCTCCGTTTCAGGAGAAACCATAGGTATGTGTACCCTACATTAAGTCTAACACTTAGTCTAATCACTCTGAGGAATGAGATAGGTAAACAGCAAGTGTAATATTAGTAAATATATAGGGCATTATTTTGAACTGTGAGTTTTTGAAATATAGCTTCTTATAGCCTATGCTATCTTTTGAGACTGTAGCCTAAACTCACTCATAGCCTATGTTGTGAGAAGTGTTTTTTTCTTTTTAGGGAGCTGGAAACACCTTCTACTGCCCTTGAAGCACAGACTGTATTTCACCGTTTTATTGTCATATGTAATAAACAAAGATGGAATAAATTTGCAAAATTGTGTATGTGAGTTATTCCTTTACATCACGATTTACAAATAAAAATATTAAAAGCCAGGTAAGCTGGTCAAAATATCTTAAAGAACAGCCTGTGCCTGTTCACCCTGTTGCCATCTAGATAGAAGATAGACATGTTTCTGCTGTCACACCACCAGACGGCAGAAGAGCTTTAAACTCAAGCTACAGTTTTTAGTTTATTTCTGTTTACCATTCTATAATTGTACTGCCTGCTATGTACCAGAAGGGAGTTACAAACATTTCCTTTTACAACCATGTTGTCATGTGACCATTGAACATACCACGTAGGCTAAACATTGCAGTTAGGTAACCTACATGTGGTCATAAGATTTTTAAAGAATAACTATTTAATGTATGACTTTCTAAATAAATATTTCCAAAAGTTAGTAATATGATCATATTATAAAGGTTTTTAATACATAGATATTTGACCAGGTGGTTGTTCCTCAGCAGAGTTAGACCAAGGCTAAATAATATTGGAAATAATAATAATATTGCCTGAAAATGGAAATAATCCTTACCATTAACATATTCTCACAGAGAGAAATGCTTTAAAAATGAGACAGCAAGAATGAGGAAACAAACGTAATTGCGTCACACTTGTTGACGTTTTCGCGGTTTTCCGTGGCTTTTCATTCTCAGTCCGCTCTTTTGAGATGGTAGATGAACAGACATGTCGGAGAGAGGCAGAAGATTTCGAAGAAGAATAAGTGAAATCAGAGACAGAATGAACGCCCAGTTCAACAGAATTTTGAATGAAGACGGACAAGAAGCATCTTCTCTACTTCAGACGTGAACTGTTTTTTATCATAGACTGTATATAAAAATCCGTTTTTATAGATATTAGTGTAGGCTATGTTAACTGTTACTGGGTAACGTTAAACTTACACCAGACATTCCATAGTATTGCATATTAACGCTAGCATTTAAAAATTGTACTTGAACTGTGACTTCATTGCTGCGGTTCTGTTGTCATGACAATAAGCCACTATGTTACACCATCTCATTTAAAAATCGTGCAAGTTTTTGATTATCCTCTTAATGAACAAGATTAACAGAAGCGGCCATTCAGCAAAAGTACCGAAGGCTACAAACTATATATTTAACAAAACATATAGGCATATAATCTCAGATTTTCAAGATTATTAAAAGCGGCAACGTGAAGCACCTTTGAGACAAAGCACAAATTAGCACAAGTAGGACAATGAAATTAGGTAAAACCTCCTCACCTGTCATTTGACAGAATACAATGTGACTAGATTAATGTGCAGATTTTACTTCTGGCACAGGCCATTTCAATTAAAGTAGAGACTTAGAATTCAGAATGTACTGAGAGCAGTACATAGAATTTACTTAATAGTTTTTCTTTTATTATGATTGTTCAACCCAAGATTGTGGAGGTTGTGCAAAGAGCCGTAACATTGTGTCTAGCGGAACCTAATGTAGTTACAAGGAACCTGTTGACAAAGCTCATTAAAGTAAATGTTAGTATTTTAACTGCATTGCCAGAATTCAGTCGGAAATACAGTAGACCTACACCTTTGAAGGACTGCAGTATAAGTAATGTTAATGTTTGTGAGTTGTTACAGTTCATCATATTTTCCGTGTGTATTTTCTACTATTCTGTAGATTCCAAACATTCAGACGAGAGGAGGGTGGCGGACCAGCCCGGAGACGCAGATGTAGCACAAGACGACAAATAACCTTCAGAGTGTCTGTGCTGAGGAGCAGCACATTGACCTGTTACAGGTCTCATAGGGGTAATCTCTGTTTTTATTAGTTTGCTAATTTACGTGGACAGATCTTTGTTAAAAAAACAAAAAACAGATTTGTTGTATAACCAGTTTCTTTGTTTCACCATCTTTTACATAGTGGTTCATGACATTTTGTCTTGCTTGTTATTAGTAATAAGACCTTTGTTACATTGTTGAAACTATGAGTAATATATCTTTTTTTACGCAGATGCTACTCCTCCCTGTCGGGTCGTCGTCCCTTTAGACCTTGACGAACAGGAGTTTGTTCAAGTCCTTCAAGAAAACATCCCCGCGTTGCCTGAACACTTTGAGCTTTGCTGAGTCAATGGGCAGCGCAGCATAATAGTGTTGGAGGAGCAGTGCCCAAGGGACATACATGCCCAGAATGCCCTAGGGCGCTCTTGTCTCTACCTACGCCCCAAGGTATGCAAATATGTGACACAGTGCTAGTGTTGTAGTTTTTGGTCTGGTTTGTAGTATTTTCGTGCTTTTATTCCTGTTATGTTCTTCCTCTTGTGTTTTTGTTGTTTAGACCTCCCAGTCTCCACATTCTTGTTCCTTGTCCATGATTATATGGTGTTAAGCATTTGTTATATGTTGTCTTTAATTTTGCACCCTTATGTATTTTGTAGTATTTTGACTTCTTGTTTCTTATCTAGCTTTTTTTCCTGTTATTGTTGATTATCTGATCTTGTCTAACAATTTTTCTGTCTTTGGGATTCTGTTTCTGTTGGGGATTCTGTATTTTGGTTCTTGCTGGCCTTCTCAGTTTGTATTGTTGCTTTTTGTTGGATATTTGGTTGATTTCTCAGACTGCCTGCCTCACCTCCATTTAAGTGGATTACCCCTTTTAGTCCTATTAGTTCGCTTCAGATGCTACTTGCCTTTACTTATAAAGATATAAAGTTGTGGCTGAAACTGTATGAGCCTTCACATGCATATTAATGTTGTTCATCATTTCATTTTAGGATGTTATGTCAAACCCCTCCATACCAGTGGAACAAACACCAGCTGCACCACCAATTGCAGTTGGGACAACTTCTCCTGCTCCATCTCCACCAATCCACACCTCTTCTCCTGCTCCATCTCCACCAATCCACACTTCTTCTCCTGCTCCATCTCCACCAATCCACACCTCTTCACCTGCTCCATCTCCACCAATCCACACCTCTTCTCCTGCTCCATCTCCACCAATCCACACCTCTTCACCTGCTCCATCTCCAGCTCACAATCATTTCTATATATCCTCCGCACCATCGAGCCCATACCAGGAGGGAACTGAAGAGTAAGTACACATTTTCTGAAGATACTGTAACACCCTTATAGTGCAAGTTGAAGGTGTGACAAAAACCTGGAGAACCACTGGTTTAAATGATTGTAATTTCAGCATTTTTTCTCTATCAATACAGAGCTTTTGACATCGCTGTGGCACTTCGATCCCTACAATCAAGGGTTCACCATCTGGCTCCCACAGCCAATCAGATAAATGTTCTTTGCAATGAAGAATTTGAATGTGCCGAGAGAGCCTTCCGGCGACCAGCCTTCAATCCACAGTCCAAGCTGGACATCGTTTTCATAGATGAGGATGGTCAAGGAGAAGGTGCCATCGACGATGGTGGGCCAACAAGGGAATTTTGTAGGTTGCTAATGCAACAACTCCAGGAGCATCAAATATTTGAAGGGCCTCTTGAAGCCCGTACCCTGGCCCTTGACAGTGTTGGTATGTTTTTTTGTTTGTTTTTTTTCTTTCCAACAATGTCAGGAAACATACTCATTTAATGTATGTCCACACTCCACAGCTTTATTTAACATTACTTTGATCAATTTTAATTGTCTTTCTTTTATAGCTCTTCACAACAACACTTATAGACTTGTGGGCCAAATGTTGGCAGTTTGTCTCATCCATGGAGGGGTGTCGCCACACTTTTTTTCCAAGAGGCTTTTTAATCAAGTCTGTGGTCTACCACCTAGTCCAGCAACCATTGAAGAGGTGGTAGACCACAGCCATAGGGCAAAACTGGAGAAGGCAAGTTTGGAAGTCATTACACACTTTACACACCTGTCTCTGGCCAATAAATGTTCAAGTATTTGGTAGTGGCTACTCTCTATTTCTTTTTATAATTTCAGATAAGCAGTGCAGTAGCACTACAGGATGCAAGGCAGACTGTCAATGAAGCAGCCGAAGAGTTGGCAATGATGGGAGCCCTACGGCACCTCCGCTTGTTGGACCACAGGGGGGAATTGATGGAAGCTGTCCTCCAGTTCCACTGTGAAGGCCGAATCTATGCAGCCCTCCAACAGTAAGTTGTATATTATAAACAGAAAATGTTAATTGACATCAACTGCAGCAAAGCAACTTTACTAGACCCTTGGTGTTCAAATTACAGTAGTGGGATTTCTCCTTGAGTTGCTATTGACACGTGAAGTCAAGTTATTTTAAATTAACTAATCACAATATTAAGTACACCATTTAAAGTAAATGGTTTCAGGGGAGGCTCGGTGACTGGAACTGAAACCACCATATCACCAAGTGAACATAGAATAGCCTACATGTGTGAGTTTGGAGATACAGTAGTTTTTGGTTCCCCCATCAGAGTCAGAAACTAAGTCACTGTAGTCAGAAGTCAAGCATCAGGCTATTTTGGCTCAAATATTGAGTGTCTATGGGATCAATTAATTTAATCAAGATCCGATAGGCATCCAGGAATTAAGCAAAGCTTACAAAGTAAACTAAACTAAAGATTTGGTGGGGGGAGCGCTGTTTCCGAAACTTTGTCTGAGGGGAAGCCCGCAGTCTAAAACTTTGAAAACCCCTTGCCCTAGGTGCATGGTGAGGGAGTATTGGAGAATCTTTAAAGGTGTGAAGAGGCAGGGCAGAGGCAAAAAAATTAATACCACAAATCTGATGACAGCAGGAAATGGTAGTTGGGGTCTGCTAATGTATGAAAGGGCATTGCTATTGTGTGTCACCCTGATGGTGTCTCTCCAGAGGTTGGTCAAGACATTTTTTTTTTTGATTTTTGTTTTTTACGCACACACGTGTACAGACTTGCGGGCAGAAAACGATACAATTAAATTTTTATATACACACACACAGTAGTGCCAATTCATAAGTTTATCTCATTGCAGTTTTCATATAGACAAGGTCTAGACCATACTCTTAGTAATATTTACAGAGACCCAGCAATAATAGAACATGAGGTAATGGTGTTTTACAATTTCTACAATCTTGGGTAACATTGTAAAAGAACAGAATTAAATTGTTATTTTTTTGCATCAGATTCAAAGAAGGACTAACTTCACTTGGTGTCCTGGATGAAGTCACCTCACATCCACAAGACTTTGAAAAAGTCTTCCTCCAGGACACAACAACCCTAAAGGCCAGCGACATTGTGGGGGTGTTCCAGGCCAGATGCCGATCCCTCCCATCATCAAATAGGAGGCGGTTGGAAGCCAGGACCATTGCATTCTGGAAAGACTGGCATGGGTCCCTGTGCTTATAATTGTGTGTGTGTGTGTGTGTGTGTGTGTGTGTATAGGTTTATTTGTGTTGTCATGTTTTTGGTAAGTCACGTGGATGGTTTCTGTATAGTTAATTTACACACCTGTTTAATGCCAGTGAGCAGATAACAGGTGAGTGAATGGGACGCTGCTGTTTTTTGTTTTTTTTGATGAACGCGGTGTTCTCTATAGTTTTGATTGATTTCTCACTATACGGTTTTCACATTTTAAGTTGCATATTTTCATCAAAAACCTAGAATTTTTTTTTGGAAATCTGCGAATTATGCAGCGAGTCCGACAAACGGCACCACAAGGCCCTACCTCAGCCTCTTGGTACTTTGTTTTTGCTTTTAAGTATAGTCTCTACATTTATCTTACAATCTACTACTGGCTGTGGCTGGCTACTTCGTGAATCCTCTTGCAACATAATTTATTTTTATATCTATATACAGGTGGACTTGCTGGACCAATCACACTGGAGCAGGTCCTAATTTTTGGAACAGGTCTCCGCAGAATCCCAGCAATGGGCTTTTCAGTGCAGCGTGAGCTGGCATTTTTACACCCTGAAGATGGACATGCCAAGTTTCCCCAGGCCAACACCTGCGCGTTGGTGCTACATCTACCCGTGGGTCAAACCTACAGTATATTCAAAACTAACATGAAGCTTGGGATAGGCTCTGCACACCAGTTTGGGTTGGCCTAAATGGTGTCTATTTGTCTTTTCACTTTTGGAGTGAAGTTCTCAGGATTTGTTCATTGATAGTTGTTTTGTTGTTCATATTTTCTGTTCACAAACCTCATATTAGTTTAGTTTTAAAAAAAGAAGTAAATTGTAATTGTCATGTATTGGTACATGTACTTTTTAGTGTTAGCATTCTTAAACTTCCAAAGAATCTATCCTTGTGGAAATATTTGCAATATCGAGTATGTGTGGCAACTTTGCAGTAAAAGTTTATTTTACATACTGCGCTTTTGATGTTGAGGTTTCATCAATATTCTGTGCTGTATAAGTTGATGTTAGGTGGCCTCAACTTGTTATTATTTTGGCTATAGCCTATAATGCCTTGTTATAGAAATGGAAAGTTTCTTTCTCCTATTAAGGTTATGCAAAAGTTATAGAAATACCTCAGAAAGGTAATTTAATAAAAATATTTCTAAAAGTAATTGAACTATATTATACCATTTTAAAAATTGTATTTATTGTGAAGTTAAGCAAATTTGAGGCGCAGGTTTTTGGGTGACAAGATTTGATAGTTTCTGCGTCCAAGTATTCATTAATATAACATAACAATATTCCTGTTGTAGGCTCCGGAACACAACAATTTTTTTTACAGTTTACACCAAATATTACATTGTTTGGATGATCCAAATATTTACTGTAAATGTGACAAATATGCAAAAAAGGAAGAAATCAAGAAGGGGGCAAATACTTTTTCACCGCACTTTTAAATTTATTTTTAAGTGTGTTTTATTAAAAAGGACCAGACTCGAAGCTTAAGACCTTAATATAAATGCACAGATATTTGCAAGCATGGCACTACCCCACAGTCCGTGTCTTAAATTTAAGCACGTGCCATAGCTACTGATGTTTCGTCAGATAGCTGTTCATGTATTCATGTCAAATACTGAATTGTACAAATACTCACAAGTCACAATTTGTTTGCAATCCACATTATGGTTTACACTACTAGAAACACAACTGTATTGATTATATGTTGTATATTTTCTGTATATACTATGTACACCTTCTGTATAATGTCTGTAGTGCTTGAGTCAGTAATGGCCGGAAGAAAATTATGTGTGTTAACATACTTGGCCAATAAATCTGATTCTGATGTCATTTCAGGTAGTTTTGGCTACCAGGCACCGCTGGTTTTGAGTGGAGGTAGAGGTCGACCACATTACTGTGTCACTCGGGAACAGCTGTCATTCTTAAGGTCATGTGGCTTCACTGCACCCCAGATGGCAGATATTCTGCATGTGTCTGTGCGTACAGTTAGACGACGTTTGAGGTAAGAGACTAGGATTTCCATGTGATGTGATATAGTCACGTAAGATTTGACCCGTAAAAACACACACTTTTATATGTAATGTGTGTGCATATTGTTTGGTCATGATGGACATTAAGAGTAACTTATGATTGTGCTGGATTACATTTCTCTACCTTTTAGACAGTTACACTGCACTCGCGCTTCATTGTATGCAGACTTGACCGATTCTGCCCTAGATGAACATGTGCAAGACATTGTGGCTGGCAATGACCTAGTTGGTCCTGAGGCTGTGAGGGCATCGCTGCATGCAAGTGGACTCCGTGTGCAGAGAAGGAGAGTGCGAGCAAGCATGATTCAATTAAATCCTGGAGCTGCTGCGCTTCAAGCAGTTCTGCAGAGACCAGAGCGACGGTCTTATCAGGTGGCAGGTCCAAACTCATTGTGGCACATTGATGGAAACCACAAGCTGATAAGGTAACTACAGCAACAGATTTATTCAGCATTTATTTTGACAAAGAAAAGGAATGTTACATCAGCTGAATGTGTTTGCCATTTTTGCTATATCAATAGCCACCTTAATAATATTTTTCTTATCTGGTTTTAGGTGGCGGATAGTTATTCATGGGGCTATAGATGGGTTTAGTCGCCTTGTGGTCTTCCTGCGTGCCTCCAACAACAACCGCAGCAGCACTGTGTTGGACAGCTTCATCAGTGCTGTGATCCACTATGGCATACCCTCCAGGGTCAGGACGGACAGAGGAGGTGAGAACATCGCAGTCTGGCTGATGATGAACATCTACAGAGGCTTTGACCGTAGCAGTGCTCTCCGAGGCCGGAGTACCCACAATCAGAGAATTGAGAGGCTCTGGGGTGATCTCTGGCGTGGACTGCGAATGTCTATTATGAGTTATTCCACCATCTGGAGAGCGAGGGCATCATTAATGTTGACCGTGAGAGGGACCTCTGGGCTCTCCATTATGTCTATCTGCCAAGGATCAACCGGGATTTAAACGACTTTACAAATCAATGGAATAACCATGGTTTGAGAACAGAGAGACACATGAGCCCACTACAGATTTTTGTTAGAGGCTGCCTTGAGCAACAGGGCCGACCATCAACTGCCATGCAGGACATCTTTGTGGCCAGAGCTGCTGGTGGTGGTGGTCAAGAAGCTGCTGCTGCTGGTGGTGGTCAAGAAGCTGCTGCTGCTGGTGGTGGTCAAGAAGCTGCTGCTGCTGGTGGTGGTCAAGAAGCTGCTGCTGCTGCTGGTGGTGGTCAAGAAGCTGCTGCTGCTGCTGGTGGTGGTCAAGAAGCTGCTGCTGGAATTCCTAGGACAGAAGAGCTGGAGTTGCTGCTAGACTGGCCAGAAAGACGGATTACTGTGCCTGACATCCAGTACATGTTGGAAGGTCCTGTAATGGAGGAAGTGCAAGCACGGTTCGACCCACTCAGTGGCCCCAGAGGAAATCATGGCATACAGATTATCCGTGATCTTGTATCCTTTTTGGATTCAGCGTTGGGATCACAGGGACTTCACAGATGAAGGTGTTCATATTTGATCTTAACTGAACTTTCTTTCATGTGAGTCATTGAACTTGCTCAGGAATCCCCAAAAAGGCAGTAGTGAAAAAGAAATGTATTGGGTTGGAGGCAGGGATGCCCATGTAGGGCTTTTGTACTTTTGACTACTTTTTCCACCACTGTGAAAGACGTACTTTGTAATCTATTAAAATTCTGTCCCTATTTTCCCTTTTAAATTCTTCCATCCACTAGATACGTGGATGGCACCACTCAGATGACTGGGAAGCCTATCTGTCCCCATCTCTTAAAAGAAGAGTATCACCACAGCAGCCCCACTGTGTGCATCCAGCCAGCCAGTTAAAGAGCTGAAGTTCAAACAGCCCCAAGAACTGAAGGTTTTGCCCAAGAACTTCCACTCACCCTACGATGGACTGGACCACGAGTGATGCCCGTCACCAGCTGGAGCCTCACGCAGACGCACACACACACACTGATGTACTTAGGCTATATTGGTTACAGTTGTTCATTAAAATGAGTGTAATTATATTTTTGCATTATTTTTTAAATACCTTTACTGGTTTTAATGGTTTTAACATAATTCCTAATTGTTCAAAGTATTAAGTCAAATATCTAGTAGTAGTCAACAGGGACGTGCACAGGAATTTTGAAGGGCAGTTGCTCTGACCTGAAAAAAGGCACTAAACACAGTATCCAAAATGTATTAACAATATAAATGTCACCAAAATACATATGAGAAAAAGAGTTCCTTATATTATTATTTATTGTTTTTTTAATCATTATTATTTTTATTTTTTTTTCCTTTTTTTTTTTATTTGAAAATAAATAATCTAGATTGAATTGACAGATGGGGAAAACTCGCTTCTAATAAAATAAATAAAAAAACGCTTAGATTTCGGAAAAAAATACAATCCTTTTTAACCTTTTGGCTTCCCGTACATTCAGTTGCGCTTCTAGCTCGTATTCACTTCTGTTGGTACGTATCATGTATGGTAACTGGGCAAAACTACGCATGATTTGTTGTAGTATGATTGCATAAAGGAAGGAAACAGGAATTCCGGTAGGGAACAGAATCGACTGACGTGCAGGCAGCGCTGCAGCAGTGCAGCCACTTAAACAGAGTTTGCCCTTCCCCTACTGACTTTCACTTTCGGTGCCCGAATGGAAGTGAATGAGGCTTTGCGATCGCGATTATTTTTTTATTTTATTTTTTTTTCTCGGAAGGGCGAGTCGGAAGGGCAACTTGAGTCAGGAAAGGCAAACGGGCAGTTGCCCGGGCAACCAGAGCAACCCCCCTGTGCACGTCCCTGGTAGTCAAGACTCCAATCAATTGTCTCTCACAAATAGTCTGACAGATTCTTTATCCTGGTTGTTCATAATAATAATTTTGAATGTTGTGTGGTTTACACAGTAAAATAAATTTCAACCTTTACTGATTAAACCGATTTCATTTTGTCATTATCAGCCAACATTATTCACAATGTAAAGATAGCTTATTGATGATTAACATGATTTCAAAACATGCATCTTATTATTTAGCTTAGGTATCATCAGAAGGTATGCTTTCACAAAGACTTCAGGTAACCTTTCTCAAATATGTCCATTTCGGAGGAAAGCAATGCAGCGTTTTTTTAAAACCAAGTATCTTAATAGCCTGCAGATGCCTTTTCAGGATCAGAAGGAGCTTTATTGTCAAGTAGTGTTTAACCCATACGAGGAATTTGCTGTGGTGATAAGGTGCTACATGTAGACAAACATACAGTCAACATAAATAAATGTGGAAATATAAATATGGAATAAGATAAGTTTTTGTAGCAACTTGTATAGTGTAGTGTTTTGGGGTAACATAAATATTCGCAGGAGTCCGGAAGGATTGCTTTGGATAAATAAATAAAAGCTAGGGAATAAATGACAAGCTGTGTTTTCCCTGAACCGACTGAAACACACGTTTGTGTCAGGTTGCCTTTGGCCTGGATTTAGGATGACATGGTAAAACAAAGCTTTGTAGAAACAAGGGTAGGCTCGCTATCAATACTACACCGACTGAAGGGCTCATAAAAAGACAAATGAGGCTTAAACTGTTTACTGATGACCATGTAAAGATAGTTGTTCCACTTATGGTGATTTCTTACTTTCTTTGTGTTTGTATGTTCTATTTTAGGAGATACTTTAATCTGACAGTGATGATAAATAAAATGCAAATTAATTATGTCAAATTTGATCTAAAATCATCAATCAATAGATGTTACAAGCTATAACCTAGAGTAGCTAAATATTTTTTAGTAAATGTAGTCAATTTACTTGATCAGTCTGGGACTTTTGTGTTGAGTTTTTCATGCTTGTCTGTGGTTACTTTCTGCCTTTGGGTGGCTACGATCACAGTAAAGTAGATCAGTGCTGAATTAGTGTGGTCTGTTCTTCTTCTGTACTGATTGGGTGACAACAGTTCAAATTTAGTGGCTGTAAAATCCACAGGGCGGAGCTCATTATCATTTTACAAAATGATTTGTTGTTTTTACGCCATTTGTAACAAAACGGCGTTTAAAGCGGCGTTTTGTTAACTAAACACCGCTTTTTACGGCGTGCCAAAATAAAACGGCGTTTTTTTAGCAAAACATGCTACAAGAGTGACGTTTTTTGGCACTAATGGCTTGCCATAGAGAGCCACTTCAGGGACGCGCTACGGCGCTTGAGTATGGCGGGTGGATTGTGCCACTATGGCGGGTGGATATGGCGGGTGGATAGTGCCACGGATAACCTACCAAAGGAGACCTTCGTGTGACAGCTACGTGTGTGGATAGGCTACTCCATCGCCAGTGAACAACGTCGTTGATAAGCCCGTCGCCGTCAGGCTTGTTTTTTTCCCCTCAAACTTGTTCTTCTCTTTTCTTTTTTTTTATTGGCGGTTGGCAAACTAGCCGAGAGGTGCATTAGCACCACCAACTGGACTGGAGTGTGGAGCCAGAGATTATTTTCAATACAAGGAGTACAAGCCTACATGCTCCAGCCTTTTTGTCATTAAAAGTGTTGCTGTAAAATAAAATTTTACACAGAAATTTAAAAGGAGGGTAATCTAATGGATATAATATTTATCAAAGATATTAATCAACTTCATTTTGTAAGTTATGTCAGCTGAGAAGTTTACAGCAGAAACTTGAAAAACTCAATTGTGGGGTTTACTTAATTAAATATTACATTGAGTGTGTTTTTACATTTATTCATTAATAGACTATAGCTCTAACTTCAAAAATATAACTGGTAATATTTGTAATTTAATTGAGTTGCCTATAGGCCATGAAATTATGCTATATTGTTGTATTATAGATATCAGGGACAACTTGAAGTTCTAGCCTCCCATCTTTAATTTTTTTAACTGGCATGATGTTTACTTTTGGGTCTATTCTGTAGATTCAAATTTTGCTTTTATCATTTACTTTGTGTACCCAACTGTCATTTATAATAAAAAAATATTATAAATATTATAATTATTTATAATTTATAATAAAAATAAAATATAGACCAACACCAAGCTACAATCAATGTTTTCCTCATATTTGATGCTGCCATAAATGTTTTGTTTTTAAACAGTTTCAAACATAAGAACCAATCAAAAGCATCAGAACAGCAACAAACTTTACTAAACAACTGTGGCTGGAAATGGCAAAGGAAGACAATGTGCACATGAAATACACGCAAAGCAAAAAATGAATATTATTCAACATATAGCCAAGCTTTTTAAAGAAAATATTCAGATGGCATCTTAAACATTTTCATAAGAAATTGTGATTTAATTACATATTTTACCAGTCGGCCTAACTGTAACAGATAACTAAAATTTACATTTGTCTACAGTTGAACATTAAATGATGTTCTTGGTATAGAATCATGGGAGCTTTATATTTATATGAGCATTAACAATAAGCTATGCAGAGTGGGAAATTACGTTTGAATCATTGTATAATAGTATGCTGGTTTCTCTTAGTGTAGCATCCCGATGGAAAATGAAGAACTTCACTGAGGGTCTTAAGATTTTTAATTTGGTGTTTTGTTACTTCAACAACAATGAAATTGCTAAAAAAAAAAAAAATGCAGACATAAGGCAACATAGTATCTTATAACTCCTTTAGGATTACATTGATTAGTAACGCATTAGCATGATCAAAATAATCCAAACCATTATGCAGAAATATACATTTAAAATACATTGCCAATAAAATAACCAAAGGCAAATGCCTATAACAAATAATAATATAAACTGAATAAGCATGAAACAGCTCTAATACTTCAATGATTAATTTTATAAGTAACTGTAGGCCTAATACAACCATTTTCACATTGTGGGGAAGTGAAAGCATCATCTTCTTCAGTGGAATTTTATAGGACTGTGAATCCAAACAATAAAGCACAACACAGGCTATGAACTGTAGGCTACTCCAGAGTTCCCAGTCACCACAAGAATAAAAGCATTTCACACAGGCTGTACAAAGCATGACTTGAATTTACTCAGTAAAGTTAAAATAGGAGTTACACTGACAATGGTGTACTGGTGGCGACGTACTTAGTGACGACGTGTGTATCACACGGTTGTAAGGCGACGTACCTAGTTCAGATGTATTTAGTAGGCGTATATTTATACAGAAATTCGAACATACGCCGCTGTGACGTCGCCGCCGGAAGACGTTGATTCCATGCACTCGCCGCCAAGTCGCCGCCGGTCTCCCGTCTGCAGTCCCAATCACTCCCATTCAAAAATCCACACGGTCTGGCGGCGACGGCAGGGTAGACTGCTCCTTCTCCTTCTCCTGGTAATCCTCGCTCTGACACTATCCACCTATGGCGGGTGGATAGTGGATAGTGTTAAGTTGATTAATATCTTTGATAAATATTATATCCATTAGATTACCCTCCTTTTAAATTTCTGTGTAAAATTTTATTTTACAGCAACACTTTTAATGACAAAAAGGCTGGAGCATGTAGGCTTGTACTCCTTGTATTGAAAATAATCTCTGGCTCCACACTCCAGTCCAGTTGGTGGCGCTAATGCACCTCTCGGCTAGTTTGCCAACCGCCAATAAAAAAAAGAAAAGAGAAGAACAAGTTTGAGGGGAAAAAAACAAGCCTGACGGTGACGGGCTTATCAACGACGTTGTTCACTGGCGACGGAGTAGCCTATCCACACACGTAGCTGTCACACGACGGTCTCCTTTGGTAGGTTATCCGTGGCACTATCCACCCGCCATACTCCTCTGCCCTCTCTAAATCAGGTTCTCTGAGCACTACGTGACGCTCACCTGTTCCCGTTCTCGCCTGCCTGCTAATCTCCGCAGGGGGATCGGGAGCCTTTCATGTAGCCGTGTGTTAGTTACGGAACATTAAAAAAAGGTTGAGGCACTACAGCAAACTTTAGAAATTTTTAACTCGTCGTTCT